CATCCCATCACTTCTTTAGTTTATTTTAATTAGGAAATGGGAAAAAATAAGTTGCAGTATGTATGCACAGGGGTGGGATTCAAATTTCTTAACAACCGGTTCTGTGGCTGTGGCCTAATTTGTGGGCATGGCTTGTTGGTCATGTGGCTGGGTGGGCATGGTTTGGTGGTCATGTGACTGGGCGGGCATGACTAGTGGGTCATGTGACTGGGGTGAGTGTGGCTAAGTGGCCACGTGACTGGCAAATCAAATATAAGTGGTCCTCACTTAATGGCCAGTTGCTTAGCAAGTGTTCTAATTTACAACTGACCTCCCCAGAGCTACTTGACCTGTGTTTGATGTTTTGACAGCCGTGCACACACGTGCACGCACGTTGCGCGCGCGCACACACACACACTTATGACCAGTTACAACTTCCCACATAGTCTTGTGACTGAGGTTTTCTATGTTTTTGCCAATTTCCAACAATTCCTTCTGGTTTCCAGTTAAAAATGCTTATTGGGGAAAATTGACTTATTTAACAACCACAGTTTTTGCTTAATGACCACAAGGTTCACTTAACAACCATGGTGTTTGTCTAACCCAGGGTCTGCGACCTTAAAACACTCAAACAGCCGTTTTTCTATTTTCTTTTAAAGATGGATCTTTCTCTCTGTGTGTGTCTCTCTCTTTCCCTCTCTCTTTCAAATCTTTTTCTTTCTTCCTTTCTCTCTCTCTCTCTCTCTCTCTCTCCCTCTCTCCCTCATCTCTCTCTTCCTCATCTCTTTCTCTGTCTCTCTTGTCTCTCTTTCCCTCCCTCCCTCCCTCTCTATCTGTGTTTGTGTGTGTGTCTTCTCTCTCTCTCTCTCTCTCTCTGTGTCAGTCCCTGGGGGGCAGGAAGGAATAAAAGTATAACTTTTTTCAGTTCTGTTGTAACTTTAAATGGAGGCTAACAAATAGTTGTAAGTCAAAGACTATCTGTATCTGTGGCTTTAACCTTCCAATTAGCATCTAACTAGATTTCAGCTGCATCTCTGCATCAGGCACAATAGGATAATTTCCTTATTCCCAAAATGCAGGAAAATAACCCAGGCTTACAAGAAGTTGTATTTCTGAATGTTTTTCAATCTTAGCAAATTAGCAAATCTCAGTGTTTTTCAAGCTTAACATGTGGACTTCAATTCTCAGAATTCCCCAGGCAGCATGAGACCTGATCATTTGATTACTCCCAAGTCAGTAATATGAAAGAATTATCAACTTTAAAGATATTGAACATTGTATGAATTGATTTAACAAGATTTCATACTTACCACACGCATGTCTCTGTTTGGACAGAACCATCAAGGCATTTCTTCTGGATTGCCCCTTGTACTAAGACTTTGGTTTATTATTGTTGCCGCCTCTTCATTAAATGCATGGATTGACCTCAAATGGATGTTACCTATTTTCTACTGGTGGATTAATCTATAAAATGATATATATACTGCCCCTTCATCACAATGACACAACTTTAAATAGTAAAGTCCCCCCCCTCAAATATCTCTTCCAGGATGGTTGTTCCTAGTCCATTAAAATGTTTTAGGGTTAGTGCTGTCTTAAATTTAGAGATGGTTTTTGGTTTAATTATATTAGTAATGTAAATCAGCAGAGACTGACTACTGAAAATCATATCTAGGAAGGCCAGCAAATCTAATTGCCTTTCTACCTACGTAACATAATTTTAAGGCTGAGTATTACCTATTTATAGCCCATCATATGCACTACATCTATGAAAAGCCATAACACAGCAATTTCCAATGAATTAGTCAATTAAATAATGTTAAACTACTTTTCTTCAGCAATCTGGGCTAAAGCAGAATTAAACTATATCTGCTCCTTTGTTTTCTGAATGGATTTTATAGGAAGGAGGCTTAATTTCACACCCACACACACCAGCCACTTCCCACTCATTTAGGAAGCATGGAGGAGGTAGTTAGCAATAGCAAAACTAATTCAATATCTTCCAAATGGGATAGTCGCGGACGGGAATGGGAAGAGGAGAGAGAAAGGGGTTCTTGCTCCAGGCTACATTAAATGCTTTAAAGCCCATTCAGCTCCAGCAACACTTCTTGGAACTTCTCCTTGTAGCACTAAGCTCTTTGGTTTTTATTTTGAAATCCAGCACTCTTGGATTTCACTCTTGGATTTCAAGAGTGCAGCCGGAGAAGCTGGATTTTAAAAGGCAAGCAGCTCGGTGCTACAAGAAGTGCCGGGAAGCCAATGAATTAGTCAATTAAATAATAATTTTAAACTGCTTTTTCTCCCAGCAATTTGAGCTGAAGCAGAATTAAACCATATCTGCTCCTTTGTTTTTTGAATGGATAGGAGGAAGCTTAATTTCACACTTACACACATCAGCCACTTCCCACTCGATCTATCTCATTTAGGAAGCATGGAGGACATAGCCATCAACAGCAAAACTCAATATCTTCCAAATGGGATGGGGAGGGGGGGAGAGAGAAAGGAATTCTTGCTCCAGGCTTAAAGCCTGGCAGTTCCAGCAACATATCTTCAGCCTCATGAGAGGCGAGTGGCAGGGCCAGCCCAGGGGCACAATTTGTCAGTTCCCTAAACTGGGCAGAATCTTAACATCCAGTTCTATAGAACCGGTGGGAACCAGTAGAATCCCACCCCTTGTATGCATATTTTCTTTAAAGGCTTTTTCTGTTTATAAATAATACCTAGCTGTGACTTTGATTTCTTTTTTTAAAAAATAAAATCCTACCCATAGAAGTAGGGATTGTAATTTTTTTTCTTTTGAAGAAGTAATGGTAAACAATCTAGTATAGTATTATTTAAATTTACAAGGTCTTGAATGGCCTTTTCTTAGTTCTAGTCTCCATCTGCAAATGAATGTGGGGGAGTTTGAATGAGCAAACTCAGTCCTAGAATAGTACCGTAGGTGTTTCATCAACTATCAACAAGACAACTGCCTTGTATAATGTAAGCAATAGTAGTAACTGAGTTTTTAAAATCCATGCTCCACTCATTTTAATAAGGAATGCCTTTATAAATTTTAATACTTGAATAAAAGTTTTAACAACTAGCTTGGCCAACATACTGTTCAAAATGGAATTGTAAAACTTACACATCTCCTCAACTAATATAAAATACTTTCTTTGTTTCTCTGATTAGAAAAGAAAATAAGCCAGAGTAGCTATTTCCTTAGATTCTGCTGAAAACATAACTAATAACTAGTTTGCTTATTCTGGTCATTCATTCGGATGACAGATCAAACTATACCTTCTGCCAAATACCTGTCTGCCCTTCAGTAATGATAATCCCTCCTGTCAATGAACCGTATCACTTTATTGCCCTTCTGCTGAGTCTTTTGGACTTGCAGTGGATTATTTAAAAATTAAAAGTTTAAATTGAACCCAACACTTTGAAAAGACTAAACTTGTCAAGAAAAAATCTTTTCCTAAAGCAGTTCTCAAACATATTGGCTCCAATTCTGTTGGCACTCATTCATCTGTTTGTTAATAAGGTAATTGAACTATTTATTATATAGAATATCAATTATTCAAGGCTGCAACAGCAAAAGAGAAAATGGAATATGATCTTATATTTTGTAATGGTCCCTTTCCCTTATTGGGGAAGCAGAATGCATGTATTTTAAATTAAGAGCTCCTTGTTTCTTCCCTCATTATGTAAACAAGTTCAATAATCTTCTCAAAGTTCAGCAAATTCCTTTTGCATGATGTAGGATTTAAGTCTGCCTCTATTTGCTTGCTTTCTTCTTTCCTCTGAGTTTTTCTTTTTTCTTTTTACACTCTGCAGCTATAAATGGAGATACAGGAGCTGGATATTTAAGATAATCTCAATTAGTCATACTGTAACAGTTTATACCTCTAGCTGTCCTACTGTCAAGCAACAATTGCAATAGTGAGCTGATCAGAGTGTCTAGCTTTTGCCAGCAATTCTCCAAATGCCATATTTAATTTACCATGCTTGAGATATGTTACTCCTGGGTTATCAAACTCAAGGCCTGCAGGCTAGATCCAGCCACAGGGTGCTTAGATCTGGCCTTGGAAAAAGTGAGGGACTGGCCCATGGTGCCTCTGCCAGTGAAAACACGTGGCCCTCCCAAGCTCTGTTTTTGCTGGCAGAGGGTTGCAGGAAGTCATTGCAGCTAGAAACAGAGCTCAGGAGCCCATTTTTTGTTGGCAGAGCAAGCAGGCCACTACAGGTACCCCCGACACAAGTGATGTCAAGCTGGCCATGCCCACTCAGACCACATCCATTCCCATCCCTGAAGGATAAACACAATCCTGATGTGACCCTCAATGAAATTGAGTTTGACACCCCTATGTTACTCCCTTTTTGTACTGGATGTGTGTGGAAATGGAGAATCATGGGAAAAATGAAAGAGTATGGATGGAGTATCTTAGAAGATATCCTAAATTTCACACGTTTAGTCTCAGGTGTTTCTAGCTTTATGGTATGATGGTTTGTTAGTTATTGGTAGAAACAGCTGAAGTGTATTTGATGAATAGTTGACTTAGTTCTTATATATATTATGTAAAGGTCCTTAAAATTGTAACTTTGGCATATAGTTCCTATGTCAAAGTAAGTAGTTTTATGTATCTATAAGTTGACTTACAAACATTGATTTGCCTTATGGCCTTAATATATTTCTTAGTATATTGACCCTCTTCCTCATAAAGTTCTATTTAGGAAAATAATTCTTTTATGAAAATAATGAACTCCACTAAAATGCAAATAGTAAGTTTTGTTTATGGAGATGAACTTGAAAAGCTGTTGAGAACTATTTGAAAGTACTGGTGGAAAATGTCAATTTCTAAACCTGACAGTGGAAAACGTAGTTTATAATCAATTGGGGGGAAAATGAATAATTAACTGGAAAAAAAACATGACAGAGGAGAAAGAGAAAACAATGCAAGAAGACAATGCCGTGGCTTGTACTTCTACAACCCCCTCTATGGTCTGAATTAAACTGTTCTTTTTTACTCTTTTTATAGAGAAGAGTCAAAGATGTGATATCACCAATTGTCTTTGAAGTTACATATAGCCTTGGGGAACATATTGTGGAAAAGGAGGAAAAAGAATTACCTGCGCTCAAGCCTGTACTCCGATGGAAAGGAGGCCAGAAAATTTCACAGAAAAACCAGGTTCGAGTTTAGAAAATTTTTCTTTAAAAACAATAATCAATGTCAGAAATAAACAATGTTGTCTGCTTCCCTAATGGTAGAGAAATGAGATTCTCTATCTTTTTTTATAAATAATCTTTATTGAACATATTTTCACAATTAAAAACACATTTCCACTCATTACTGCGGGTTTGTACCAGTGTTCACTCACACTGATATATTTCTAATTGTGTAGGTTACTACTAAATATTGTTATTATTTAAGACACATATTCACATAATTATTTACATAATTATTTGCATGGTTATAGATATAATTATCTCATCTTGACTTAGCTTCTACATATTTTTCATCCATCTGCTTTGTGTCTACATTCCAACCAGTTATACCATAAATTCCAAATCTCATAGTACTCTGTTTCTTCTATATCTTTTAATTCCATTGATAACCTCTCTGCACATTCTAAAACCTTTTTTATTATCATGATATTGGAAGAAATATTGTTGTCCAGCAACTGCTCCAATTAAATCATGATTCTCAAGCCAAACTTCAAAAAACCTCAAAGGATTTATTAGAGGCAACATACTTGCACTGCCCTGTATGAAGCCAACTCTGGCATATGTAATTTACAGTCACCTGTGACCCTATTGTCCCCTTCCCCCGGGTGTCTCATAAACCAGATTCTCCAATTGAGCAGTTCATGGGCTGGGTGTCATCATTCACGTTCTTCAATTAAATTTATTCACTGACAAAAGCTCTGGTATTTTAGTTAACAATCTTTTAAAGAAGAATTGGAATGTACTTTCGCTTTCAAACTGCTGCATTGCTCTTCCAGATTTCCTCCCCCCCCCCACCTTTTTTTTATGGCAACTACTAAAACAGGCATAGGAACTTTTTATGAGTTGACATTTGGCTCCTCTTACTTTTTGAAGGTGACCAAATTGAGTGCAGATATAGAATGTAAGGCTCCCCAGACTTAGTTGGATTTTCTGCATGGAATTTTCTATAAGGCGATCAGCCTGGACGTTCCAACTGTTTACCAAATATGCCTTGGATAATGGGTAGCCCTTCCACTTGATTAAGTATTGGAGTTGTCTCCTGTGCTACCTTGAATCAAGGATTTGCTGCACTTCATAATGGGTTTGGCTTCATATGACCACGGGGTCTGGGGGTTCATGATGTAGGAGCCTCAGGGTCGATCCGACCACAGTTTTAAAGAGGCTACTATGGAATACCAGGTATATCTTCACTAGCAATTGGGACAATTTCAACTGCACCGTGACTGGGTTGATAATCTTTACTATGGGGCATGGTCCCATAAACTTTGGCCCCAGTTTCTTGCTAGGGAGTTTTAGCCTCAGATATTTTGTGGAGAGGCAGACCTTCTCCCCCACCTGGAATAGCTGCTCCAGGGCTCAGTGTTTGTCTGCCTGTTTTTTTATAGGTGCTTTAGCTAGCGCTTTTTAAACATTCTCCCAAGTTGCTTCCAGTGTTGATATCCATTTGGTCAGGCTGATTGGTGAGGGGGGATCCCTTGGATACTCAAGCATTGGGACGAAGTCCATACTACTCACTACCCTGAAGGGTAACCCCAAGTCTCATGATACTGTGGACAGCATTATTGTATGCCATGAAATGCAGGAGGCCCGCCCAGTTGGACTGCTGATGATTCACATAGTGCCTTAGGTACTCCGTGAAAGGCAGGTCTGCCCAATTGGACTGCTGATAATTCCTATATCACCTTAGGTACTGCTCTACCATGGCATTCAGTCTCTCTGCCCCCCCATTGGTGCTCAGATGAAAGGCTGAGCTAAGGCCCTAGGATGACCCAATAGACTGCAGGAACTCCCTCCAGAACTTAGCCATCAACTGAATCCCTCTGTCTGAGACAATTCTTCGTGGTACTCCATGCAGGTGGTAAATGTGCTTCAAGAACACTTGGCTAACTGGTGGGCAGAGGATAGTCCACTGCAAGGTATGAAATGCACCTGTTTGGAGAATAAGTCTATTACAGTCCAGATCACCTTGTTCCCTCCACTTTATGGCAACCCCACTATGAAGTCCATTGCGATCTCCTCCCATGGCCTTGTTGGCTCTGCTGCCATTTGTAGCAGTCTGGGGAGGTTTCCTGATCATATTTTTATTGCAGTGCAGATGGTACAACTCTTCACATAACTGTCCACATCTTTCTTTATGCCAGGCCATCAGAATTGCCTCCATGGTAAGTGTAAGAACCCAAAGTGGCCTGCCGGTTTGGCGTCATGGCTCCTCTGAAGGACTAGTGTTTGTAGGGATTCTGGTATGTAGAGTTTCATCCCCTTCCATGCTAGGTCATCTCTTTTTGTCAAGATGTGTTGATTGTCCCGGAACCAGAGGTCTGTTAGTGGCTTTTGAGTTTCGTGGTTAGGTCACTTGCAGGTTGGTCTTGCCAGTCATGGCATTGTCGTCTGGTGTTTACTTGGGCAGCTATTTGGGTAGGCAGGATAATGATGTCTACTACCTCCTCCTGTTCACATTTGTATTGGGGCATAAGGAGAGGGCATCAGCTAGAAAGTTCCTCCCCCTGGGATGTGCTTTAGCACAAAGTTGAACCAGTTGAAATATTGAGCCCAGCAAACTTGTTTGGGCAATAGTTTTTGCAGAGTCCTAAGGGCCTCCAGATTTTTATGGTTGGTCCAGACTTTGAATGACGTCTGTCCCCCTTCTAGCAAGTGGTGCCAGGTTAGGGGTGCCCATCTCACTGCGAAAGCTTCTTTTTCCCTTGCAGCCCACCACCTCTCTGTGTCTGTGAACTTGCAGGAAGTGTAGGTGCAGGCTCCCATGGTTATTTCTGCAGGCTCCCTTGGTTATTTCTTTGGAGTAGTACTGCTCCCACTGCCATGTTGCTGGCATCTGCTTGGACGATGAAGGGTTGTTCAGGGTCAGGATGCTTCAGCACTGGTTCTTTTGCAAACAGTTCCTTCAGTATTTCAAATGCCTTTTGGCAGGTTAGGTCTCATTGTAGGGGTTTCCCAGGTGGGGTTTCGTCCCAGGGCTCCCTGTTTTTAAGAGATCAGTCATGGGTTTGGCAATCTTCATGAAGGAGGGAATGAATTGCCAGCAGAAGTTTGTGAACCCAGAGAAGCTTTGTAGCTTCTGCAGGTGCAAGGGGATTGCCAGCCTAGGATGGCTTGTACTTTGTCTGGGCCCATCTCTATGTCCTCAGTGGAGACTCAGTAGTCCAGATGTGTTGGTAAAACTTGCATTTCGACAGCTTGACATACAGGTTTGCATTTCGACAGCTTGACATACAGGTTTGCTGCTAGAAGTTTTTTCAGTACCTGGCAGACTAGGGGTAGGTGGTCATCCATGGTCTCAATGGTCTCAATGGTCTCACTCCATGGTCTCAATATAGATGAGAATGTCATTCAATTAGACAAGGACCTCCTTATAGAGATCCTTGTGTAACACCTCGTTTATTAGCTGCATAAACACCATAGGGGCTCCCTATAGTCCAAAAGGCATGACTTTGAATTGGAAGCTCCCTAGGGGGCAGTTGAATGCTGTTTGCCATTCATCCCCCTCCCTGATGTGGACTCAGTAATATGCCTCTTTGAGGTCTAATTTGGTAAAGACCTTTCCCCTGGCCAGGTGAGATAGCATGTACTTCATGAGTGGGAGGGGGTATAGGTTTTGTATACACAGGCCATTGATGCTTCTAAAATAGATGCATAATCTCATAGTCCCATCTTTTTCCTCTTTGAACAGGACTGGGGCTGCAACTAGTGTCTTGGCTGGCTCGATGAAGCCCCTTGCTAGGTTTTTGTCTGCATATTTGTGCATTTCTTCCATTTCCCAGGGTGTCATGGCATACGTTTTGGGCTTTGGTAGTTTTGCCCTGGGGATGATTTCTATGGGGCAGTTTGTCTCATGATGGGGAGGTAGGACATCACATTCAGTCTCACTGAATACCTCCACGAGGTTCTGATATTCTCTTGGGATCTGTCTGGCCCCTGGGGTTTTGTCAGAGGTGGCTTCCAGTTGTTCTGGCAAGCCCTCTAGGAGGGTTCCCTGCGTAGGCGGTGCTTCTATTTGATGGTGACGAGGAGGTTGGAATCTCTTTGATATCCTCAGTCTGCAGCTGCCTCCCCACTTGTCTAGCCAGGAGAATCCCAGTATGACTGCATCTGTCATTTTGGGGGCCACTACGAATCAAATTGTTTCCCAGTGATCATCTAGCTCTAGCCTCACTAGTTTAGTTGGCCTGGGCCCCTCCCAATAGGCACCCATCAACCTGTAGAAATTGGATCGGGTGGGCCAGCCTTTTTGCTCTGATCCGCAGTTTCAGGACCATGGTTAGTTTGATCAGGCACCTAGTGCAGCCTGAATCTATTAGGGCTTGGAAAGTCCCCTGAATCCCTGTTTTTGGGGCAGTGCGCCATATTGGGAAGATTAAAGGGGGGACCGGTCCATTCACCATTGGGTTGTTTTTACCCTCGTCCTCACTGTCATAAAAGTCAGGCAACTGGTCATTGTCGTCTGGGGGTCCCCCCCTTTGGTTGGGTAGGGAGGGACCTATGCAGCCTGAAGGGTCTTCTGGGATGCGTTGGTGGCTGGCCTAGGGTCTCGTTCCAGTCGTGCTGTGGGTGGTTGTTCTGGCCTTGGTTTTGGGCCTGGGGTTGTGCATGCCACTGCCATGTGACCCATCCCTCCACATTGGTAGCATTTATTTGGGCTTCATAGGAGGACTGGTTTTGGGACTGATTGTGGTGCTGTGGTTCTTTGTCAGCTGGGTGATCTGTGGTCTGGCTGATCTCTCTCTTTGGTTTCCGGTGGCTTTCTTCTGTCATTAGCGCGTAATGCCCCGTCGACCTTTATGGCCACTCAGAACCACTCAGAGAGTCAGTTTGGGATGTCCCAATAGGCGGTTACTTGGCTAATTACTTGTTCTGAAAAAATGAGCCAGCATCCGCTCAGGCAAAAGGGCAAAAATTCCCACTGATCCTCCTGAATTCATGGATGTGTTCCTCCCTGCTTTAAGT